TCTTACCCAACAAAGACTATTAATGAAGTAACAATGTCTTTGAAATGTGGACAACTCATTGTAATCATCAATTCCTTTTAGCATATTAGCCCAACAATCAATGACTTGTTAAAAAACAAATATCATGTTCCACTATACAAACTATTTTATACTGTCAACAAATAATTTATATCTAGAAAATTCAGTTAGATGTTACACTTTTAACAAATACATATGCAGTTGCATAGCTCGCATGAAGGTGTCATTATTTTTAAAGCATCCTTCACATATATTACGCTTCCAACTCCAAACTCAGACCATATTTGAGCACTATAATTTCATAAAATTTGGAAGCAAACTTGTCATATATTCTATATTAATGAACAATTTTTTAATAACAAAGTAGACAAACTTGACGGTGACACTTACTCATAACCCTCTTCATTATATATTGTCGTTAATTTGTTGAAATAAATGGCATCCAATGCTTTACAGTCCCGTCACATTTTTTTATTTCTTTTCTGTCAGTCCTTCAATGGTAGTTATCTTTTCCTTGCTGTCATCATCCTCAACAATCTCAACTATTCTCCCACATTTGTTTTCACTCAAATCTGTTTTACGATTGATCGTATCTGACGTAACAATCTATTTTTTCCCTTTTTTTTTTCCTACTATATTCGAATTCTGCATCTCTGTTTCGTTTCCTGTCTCTTTTCTTTATGTTTTAGACCATAGATGTTTGTCATATTTTTTCCTTTCCCACATGATTTTCACCTGCAATGTTGTCTTTCTGATATTTCTAGGTTATAAAATGAACAAATAATTCATTGATTTTATCAATCAACTCAGCGTTCTCCTTTTCTAGATTTTGTATTATTTTCTTGCAACCTTGTATTTTTGTTTCAAAAATTTGTTCCCTCTTTTTCAAATTTTCAACAACTTCTTTCAACTCATTTATAATCGTCTTTTTTTTTTGAATTTTCAATGCGAATGTAGAGTGTTGTTTGTCAAACCCAACACCAGCATAAACAGAATGAGAATGCTGCAAATAACATTTGTCTGTGACAATGTTCCTTCTAACAATTTTGTACACATCATTTTTCTTCAATATGTCTTAAAGTCTTTGGGTGTTTCTGTCTGCTTTTTCTCCTACAACACCAACATTGTGTGTCACTTCGTTCATTGCAGCATTAAGAAGAGATTCAAATGCCACATTTGAATGTCCATCACCTCTAATTGCATCAACCAAATCATCATCATGACCAAGAAATGTATCATTTTTTGTCTGCTTATTCCCACCACACTCAATCCACCTGTGCATGTTCTGCCTCCTTTTTTGCCTGCTTATACCTACTTCTTCTCTTTTTCTGCCTGCTTATTTTTTCAACTTCTCCATTTTCGGCTTTTCTCTCAATTTCAGATTGGCCTACTTCTTGATTTTTGCTTCTCTTATATTTTAGAAAAACTTTCTCTTATGCTGTTCTACTCAATCTATGTCTCAAAACCTTTACAACATTTTAAAAATATACAATTGTATGCATTAATTAACACAAGTGTAACATGCAAGTGTATTATTACATTGTGACATTACAGTCTTTTTTATGATGCAAGTGTATTATATGATAACATAAAAAAGATATAATAATAATGTAAGATGGACATATTAATTTGAATTTGTTATATTTAACTAACTTACGTATTTTGACTTCAACTTTCCAAGTGTCCTTTGTTTCATTGCTCTTTGAAGTTCCGACAGTTTCCATTTCAAAATTCTTGGTATTGCATTTGGATAATCAGACTTGACAATTGTTGTATATGTACAAAGCCAATACTGCACATAAATGCAAATTTAATTTAATCAAATGAGTTACATTATGTTTATTGGACAACAGAAAATAATATTGGAAATACAACCAGGCTGTTAATATCTTAACAGTAACAACATTACATATCCACTAACTCCAGAGGGGCTGCTACTCTTTTTTTGAAGTGAAGAAATAAGAGATTCATGTATTGCACTTGATCAATCATACTTCTTCATTTAATCTATATCCTCAATGTATGAAATAAATCCCCATTCTATAGCTGTCCTAGTGGTTGTGAAAAATAGTGTAACCATTAAGAATAGGCATAGGAGTCTTGCAACGCATGTTTTTTTGTACCTCTTGTTGCTTCAAGCAATTTGCTCCTTATCAAAGTTGATGTCAACCTACTATCTTTCTTGAATCTCCTTTTAACAAATTTTCTATTTTTCTTAGCATGAGATAAACAATCCATGGAATCGCGTCCATCATCAATGGCAAAAATTATTTTCACGTCACTCCTTCTCAATTTAATGTCCTCGCCACTAATGTGAAATTTAGATTTATTATCATTGAAGCACATAATTACATCATGTATGATAGTATCGCTCTTCCTACACCATGTCCTGTCTAATTTTTTTGTCAATGATGGATTTAAATAGTAACCATAATGGTGTTTTCCTCAAAACAACCTTGTGTGCTTCACTAATGTTAATTTCATCTATTGCTCTAATTATCGCAAGCAAATTTGATCTGTATTTAGCATCTTGCTTCGATTCCTCAACTTATTTTTTTTCCATCACAGCTCTGAGGTGAGAAGTGACAAAGAAAAAATGTATATAAAGTATACCAAAAGATTAACTAAAAATATAACAATATCAACAAAATTAGACAACCAAAAAAATAGTGTATAACACAGCCACATAACTGAATCAAATAACAATGTATGACACATTCAAAAAGTGAAGCAAACACAATGTATAACACAGTCTAATCAATGAAGCACAAAACAAAATATAACCAATAATAATGTCTCCTTTTTCCATGTCACATTGAAAGTGTGAAGTGTAAAGTGTGAAGTATAAAGTGTAAAGTGTAAAGTGTTAAGTGTTAAGTGTTACATGGTACACTAATGGATTGTTATTGAGAAAGTTTAGGAGTGGTCCACTATTTTTTATTTTGTTGGTAAACTAGTATGTTGTTATACTATTTTGGTAAATTTGTTACACTTCCATGTGTTATCATTCACATGTTGCAGTTTGTATATTACACTGTGAAGTGAACACAATCCACATGTAATCTTAAAAATGTTTAATCATAGAGTATAAAAACAAACAACCATGACACTAAACAACCCGGACAATTAACATTCATAGCACACAAATCTTTTAAAATAACAACAAAAAATCAGTGTAAACTTAACAATATAATAACATGAAAGTGTTTCAAAACAAGTGTAATAACAAAAGCGTATCATTAATTGTGTAACAAAACACAATTTTCCAAATAGTTTTAAATTATCAAACAATTAAAATAAGATTCAAATATATAAACTTAAACAAGAAAAAAAGTGTAATGTAACTCATTATGATAATACACAAAAAAAAAACATATTCTTATTGAACAAAGAATAAATATTTTGTATTCCTGCACAATATATTATTACCCAACAACAGTATCTTATAAACATAATATACTGTTTCGTGTCTAATTGTCCATTATTAAACACGGTATTGGTAAATTTGTCATATTTTTATATATTTTACCCTTTTTATGTTATATTTTATATATTTACATTGTCATATTCACACATTCAATATTTAGGATTAACACAGAGTGTAATCAGAGATATTTACACACAAGAATAATAAACAAGTGTGTCACTTAACACTTCACAGCACAACAAAGTTTAATAACCAAAACAAAAAGATTAAGTGAAACAAAATAAAAGTGTTTCAAATAAAGTGTAACACCAAAAGTGTAACATGAATTGTATAATCTAACATAACACAAACACTAGTTACATTGCCTTGTATGCATATGTATTCAGTCAACCCAGTTCACACATATATTCAAGTATTGAAAAAAAAAAGATTACAACATCCAACAATTCATGGTATAAACAATACATAATTTGACCAAAAAACAACAAAGATGAACATTAGAGGCCACTTAATATTCAAATAAACAAAATAGGGTTCTAATACATGAAATTAACGACAAAAAAAAATGAGAAGTGTAATGTAACCCATTATGATAAAACACAATTAAATAAACAAGGAATGAAAAATTGTGTTATACTAAATTTTTTGATTACGGGTGACCCATTATCATATTACACAATATATATATATATATATATATATATATATACACTTAAATATACAAACATACATTACCTCTTTCGACAATCAAAACAATCAACGAACACAGAATAAAACCCACTTCAAACCACAATTGAACAAAGATCAAGAACAAGGAAGGCCGAAAAAACTCACTTCAAATGAGAATGCCGAAAAAAACCCACTTTCATGAAAACCCTCTTCAATCGATCGTGGGTTTGTAACTTGAATGTTTATTGAATCGATGAACAATGAAGATTCAACACCCTTTCTCTGATCAAACCAACAATGGGATGAAGAAGAAGATGAATTGCCTTCTTTGAAGAGGAAATAAAGACCAGCGGTTTGGTGGGAAGGGAAGTAATGACCAGCCGTTTTTTCTTGGAACACAAAGAGATATATTACGGTTTTTGAGGAAGTTGAAAAATTTTGAATTAATGGATCCTAAATTTTAACAGTTATGATAACTGTAATATTACATTTTTTAAGGAAATAAAAATAATAAAAAGGGCATTTCAGTCTTTGGACCCAAGTACTTACTTTTTTTCAAAATGTTTTTAAATGTAGACTTTTTGACAAATAAATTTAATTTGGTGTACCGACTTTCAAAGAACTCAACTCAAAACAAAAGGAGAGATTGAGCGCGAGGGGATTTGCCCCCAGCCCAGTAGTCCAGCCCAATTTAGCCCTACAGTATATTGTCTGGGCCGCTGATCCTGCTGCAGGCCCATTCCACTCCTAAAATAGTAGCATGAAATACGTTTACTTCGGAATTTGGAGTCCTTAAAATTCTTTCCACCTCTATTTGCCGGCCATTTGCACTACCCGGAGCCGCCACTGGTGAGAATCTGCAACATAGCCGGCTCTGTAATTGAAAATGGAGAAGAAAGACTCAGTAGAAGAAAAGGGAAAAGAAGAGGAGGAAGAAGAAGAAGAACAGGTGGTTAATCCATGGGAAGTGTCGGCGAAGGATGGAGGCAAGATCGACTACGACAAGCTCATCGACAAGTTCGGTTGCCAGAGGCTTGACCAGTCGTTGATCGACCGAGTTCAACGCCTCACTGGTCGCCCTCCTCACGTCTTCCTCCGCCGCGGTGTTTTCTTCGCTCATAGGTACTGTAAATTTGGACTCGAAGTCTCCACAGTAATAAAATTTAGAGAGATGATCCTAATTCTCCGCATTCTCTATCTTTCTTATTAATCTACTGCTGTTCAAATTTGTGATTTGATTGGGTGGTAATTGACAGGGATTTCAATGAAATTCTGGATGCGTACGAGAGAGGAGATAAGTTTTATCTTTATACGGGTAGAGGGCCCTCTTCCGAAGCTTTGCATTTGGGGCATCTCGTTCCCTTCATGTTCACTAAGTAAGCTTCACTTTTTCCCTTCTGAGGCATCTCGTTCCCTTCTTGTTCGTTCCTATGACAATTATCTCTAGCTCCATTTTATCTTTATGGTTTAGCACGAATTATGGTTGAAAATCTGGTTCTATACAGAGAACAATGGCGGAATGGGAACTAATTAACGTTGAATTGAGTTGGATTATCTACAGTCGATTGTGTTTTTTTTCATACTGGCTAGAAAAAAATTCCTATTTGTACTTTAAGATGTGACTTCATGTTTCCGACAGAAAGGGATTTTCTTTAATGTTTTTGAACACCAGAAAAGAGAAAGATAAAAAAAAGAATTGGTTGTTATGGATGTGTGCTGACAAATAGGGTTGTATGTACATATGGTATGGTAGACTGCCTTGTATTTCTCAAATTGGGAGTCCACATGATTTGAGGAAGCAAGTTACATGCTTCTCTTTGATGTCTAAATGGAGAAACATCGTCATACACTGTCTTAAGGGGTCAGAGATGAAATGAAAACAAATTGTGAAGCACTGAAATTAACTGTTCCTAAAAACCATGTTACCAAGTCAGTTTGCATTTTGATCCATATGAGTGTGTGTCTTGTTGGATTATGTATGAAAGCTGTTGTCGGGATGTAGATACTTTGTCCTGGGGTCAGATTATTCTATTCTTGTCTTGTGGATGTTATTTCCTTTTCTCTGAAGTAAATTGTCTGTTGATCTTGTTTAGCTTATGAGCAATGTTTGACACTGCTTGCAGATATTTGCAGGATGCTTTTAAGGTTCCTCTTGTTATACAGCTGACCGATGATGAGAAGTTCTTGTGGAAGAATCTATCTTTGGAGGAGAGTCAGAGACTTGCCCGTGAGAATGCTAAAGACATTATAGCCTGTGGTTTTGACATAACAAAAACTTTCATCTTTTCAGACTTCGATTATGTAGGAGGGTAAGTTGTGTTAGATTAAGTTTAGCTTCCCGTTTTCTCACTAGCATATTTATTTGTTGCTTCAATCTGATACGAAAATATGCAAATTCAATTTTTTTGTTAATCCTATGTATTTCAAAAAATGTTTTTTCCCATTAAAGTTGTTGAGGATTATCAAGTTGCTCTCTTTGTGATACTTCCACTGTCCTATTTGATATTAGGTTTGACTTAGGAACTTGATTGATGATTTAATGCAGTAACCAAAATTTATATATTTCAGTTAGTTCTTGAGGTGCCTTACAGAGAATGATTGTGTGAGTTTGAGAGTGATATTGGCTAGATTTTGCATCTTAAACAAATCATTGTTGTTTGTGAAGCTTTGTTCTTAGCTGCAACTCATTCATTTACTACCATGTTTATTTTTTTAGGTTATGTACTATTTGGTGTTCATGGTGAAAAAATCATGTAGGCATTGGTGCTGTAGGAGCATATAAGATCAAACAGGAGAATATGTTAAAGGATTGAAGAATCAGGACTTGTGATGTGAGAATATGCTGGAAATTGTTTCAAGGGGAGGAAACTGGAATTTATTAAGGAAAAACTGTCACACAATCCATATGCTTTCAATTAGGCATTAGAAGTTGGTTATCCTTTAGCAGCTGCCTTGTTATAGTCCCCTGATGGGCTTAGGTGAATATGCTTGGGCCTAGAGCTATATTTCTTCTTTCAACCAATCCCTTGGGGTGGTTTTGAATGCTTATTATGATGCGGTTTTGTGCTGCTTAGTAAGACCTTCCTAGGGCATTGAGATTTATTCATTTTTATGAATTTCGTGTGTTGTGCCATGTTATTAATATATGCATGGTCCTAATATGAGTGGTGGATTGCATTGGGTATGATCACATGGATTTGTCTCCTTTCTCTCTGTCCCCATGGATATTTTTATGTGAGAATACATGAAATTTAAATGTAACAATTTTTTTCCCAAAAGAAATTTGTGAAAAATGACCAACCTGGCTCTACCTCTTGTGTTCAAATAATATTGATGGAGGACAGGACGAGAAGAAAATGAAAGACAAATAGAAAAAGTGGAGGTTACCACATACTTGCAATTACGCTCTAATCAAAATAGGAGGGATTACTTCAATATTTATAGGCTAAATCTACTCCTAAAACTAAAATTACTCTACAAAAATTCTGTAGTAATTTCCTAATCAAATTCTAAAATAGCTTCCTAGTAAAACTCTCACATCCAAATTACTAAAACACTCCTCCTCAAACAAATATTCCTTAAATAATATAAGAATACTCAAATAAATAATAAAATTCTAATTCTTCCATCTAAGCTTATGCAATCTCTTTTCTATCTCCATCAAATATGAAGAATCAATTGGTAATCCTGAAAATATACTCGGTTGGAGCATACGGACTATGGAGCCTTTAAAGATTGCCACTTGGAAGGTGATTTGTATCTTGCTATTTATGCGGGAGTATTTTGAGCAGAGTTATTTGTTTGGAGATTACCTGGGATCATTTATTAATTTTACTTGGCTACTTATGTTCTTAACTCATTGTGTACTCTTGGGTCTTGGCAAAGTACCTGTAATACACCAGTTATCTTGCTTTTATTGACGAGGTAGGTTTTGAGGCTGCAAGAAGAACCTAAAGGGGAAGCTTCACTGAAAGAAGAAGAGGAAATAAAACTCAAGTTTCTAGAAATGTTTCAAGAGAGAGTTCCATAGGAAGAGGAAAATGAAGAAAAAGGACATCAAATTGTCATTAACGATCTTGCATCTCATATTTGACATAAAAAGGAATGTCTCCTAAAATGTAAGGTTGCATGGCTCCTAAAATGTAAGGTTGCATGGCATAGAAACTATATTGTTGTGAACATTGTTTTGTGGCAAAAAAGATGGGCTTGATGGGGAAAAAATTCAATGGATAATGTAACATGGATAAATTAATTGAAATTTTGAGAAGTATATATGACTTAATAGAAACTGCAGTGCTAGGAGATTCAATCCAATTGTTGAGACAAGATTGAAAACCCATTTCTTCGTCCCAGATACTTAAATGTTGCATTTCTAGAGAGTTCTTGAATGTAAATTTGCATCACCAGGGAGCCTCCAAAACTTGCAAGGAGAAACACACTTCAAATCCAATCATATAGCTTTCGAGATGTATACATTTGTAATCAAATCAAATGTTGTTTTAAGTGTGTATTAGCTCTCATTTGGTTTCTGACTAATAGTTATTTACTCTCAAGTTTGTTTAAACAACTCTCTGAAAATTCAGTCTTCTTGTGGATATTTTTGAGATGCACTATTGCCCTGTTCCACTCCCCTAGTGGTCTTATTTGAGAATTTTCTGTGCAGTGCCTTCTACAAGAACATGGTGAAGGTTGCAAAATGTGTCACATACAATAAGGTAGTTGTTCCTACTGAACCTTTTTGGAAAGAAATTCAAATTTGACCTCTTTTCTTTACTGTTGAACTTTTGTGTGCAACTTCTGTAGTCTAAGCATTCAATTTCTAAACTGACATTTGGCTGGTTCCAATCAGGTTGTTGGTATTTTTGGTTTCACCGGTGAAGATCATATTGGGAAGATAAGTTTTCCACCTGTTCAGGTAAAAATCTTGGCTTCGTGATCACATGACCTGCTGTTTATACTGAGGTTTTAAGGATATGATCTTTTATTCAACAATATATTTCTCCTAATCTCATTTTTGGAAAGAACATAACATATACATTCATCGGACTTTCGATCCTTCAAAATAGAAAGGCGAAAGAGAAATATTATAAAAACCATAGTCAAATTAGTGATCATCACAAACATATCTCCCATCTGTTCCAGTAAAAATATTTGAATATCCTTAAAATCCGGAAAAACTGTAGTCAATTCTGCTTTCATGAACAGATCTCCCATCTGTTCTAGTAAAAATATTTGAATATCCTCAAAATCCGGTAAAACTGAGGCCCATAAGAATGACAAAAAACTAACTCTTTCCATTACGTTATCTCCTCTTCAATTTGTTAATATTTATACCACTTTGTTGCTAATTTTCTTCGCTTAGTTGAGGGAATATTCAGATTTCTCATTTTTGCTTCTCCATATTTTTCAAAAATTTATGTCAGTTAGCATTTCTGTTGGCAAATTCTGGTGGTTGTGTTGAATCTTTCAAGTTGAATAAATCAGAACTGGAGGCGCTGCAAGGTATCGTGGGTTTGATTAGCCTGTGGGATGGACATCGTGCATCCTTTACAGCTTGGAGGAAATTGAGAATTGAAAGTGTGCATTCTTTTTTAAAGATTTTTATTTGTAATTTGACAAGTATAGGATTTTCCCCACGTTATAGTCTTAGATGCAATGATTTTTTTCTTTTTTGCATGATGCGTTTACGGAGTATTATACTCCTACAGTTCCTTCCTCCCTGGCTTGTGGTCAGATGGGTATTCAGTTATTAGTTTCGTACTTATTATTATTTTTGGACAATTGTTTTAGATCGCTTTGGCATAGTGGTAAGGTTACTCCATTATGATTGGACATTATGGTTTCACGAGTGAAATTCCCTTAAATATATTTTTCATACATCTTCCTACTTGATAAATCTCCGGCTGTAAATTCAAGTGGGGACCATTGTGTATAAGTCAATCCTCACTAATAGGACACGTAGGACTTCTGCCTTTTGTTTGGACAAATGGTCCCTTCTTTATTGTTGATGTGGCATAAAGGCTGTTAGGAATCGATCTAGATGCCAGGAATCAGACATGGAACTAAACTGACACTTGACTGAAAGCGTTTTTGCCGTGCCTCACTAAGCGCCATAGTCAGTGATCTACTAAGGAGGAAAAAAATATTGGAGGGCATCTAGATCTATGTATTTGAGTCATGAAAACAATTTCTCTACATACAGGAGTAAGTTGCATGCATCTTACCCTTGTGAACCTCACAGGCCCACAATGGCGGGAGTCTTGTAAAAAAAACCTTCCATGCATTTTCTGTCGTGTGGGCCGCTGTCTAAGATATAAATTTCTTAGCAGAAGCAGCACAAAGCAGTGACCATGGGACATTGCTTGGTTTTCTTGTGACTAGTTGATGCTAGTATGGTTTTTGGTTCTAATTAAATTTGGTTGATTGCAGGCTGTTCCGTCATTTCCCAGTTCATTTCCACACCTTTTCCCTGGCAAGGATAATCTTCGGTGCTTAGTTCCATGTGCAATTGACCAGGTTTATTCCTCTCATTCGTGTGATATTTTTGTCCATTATTTTCTAATTGTCATCTAACTATAGTTATAGGAAAATTTGAAATGTCTACAGGAATTGAACCTGGCATGCCAGGATGAGAAGGCTTTAGCTTCCATTTATTTAAAGATTATAATGTGAAATCACCAGAGATTTTTATATGTAAACATGCAATTTTTATTCTTTTTGTAGTTATCAAAGCCAAATCGGAACCCAGTTAGGTATGTGTCTATGGGTCATTGGTTTAACAACCATATAAATTCCTATAAGGAAACCAGTAATATCTTGTTAATATAAGCATGTGGTAGTCGGTGCTGCAAAGAAGAGTCAAAGCAATTTTAGCTTTTCCCAAAGCTAGTGATATGGACGACAGTTGTACCCTTGTTTTCAAGTTGTATATTGCTTTAGTAGAAGCTAACTCTGCTTTGGAATTAGAGCTACCCTTACCAATCTATGTGAATAAATATTGGAAAATCAATAAAAATGAAATAAGTTCGTGTTTTAATTATCAGAAAATATAATTGATGCCCTCAATTAACAGGGACCAAACCAGGTAATGACCTTTGGTAATTGTTCAACACAGCATTAGCATATGTTAAAATCTCCAGGAATTTTGCAAACTCCGCAAATAGGGTAAACCTGGGCATTCTTCTGAGATTCAAACTTCGGATCTCGAATTAGTGAACTGTGAAGTTTTCCTATCCGATGTGCTCTGGTGGGTTACTTCATTTCATTTTATTCATTGTCTTTTGAGTTAGTGTGTAAGTTCATCAAGTTTATTAGACCCTGCTGAGTGGAATGCTCTCCATGACAACTGGCCAGGCATGACCTGATCAACTAACATACTGATATATGGTGTGACCTTTCAGTTCATTAATTTGACTGCAGGACCATTTGTTTATTTTTATTTTTGTTTAAGCCTTTAAACTACAGGAGTTTTTTTTTTTTTTGAGTGTTGAGGGCGTATAAAGTAGATTTTCTTTAAAAATGTGTCATTGTTGCTTTCTTGTACTTCTAAAGTGGTCTTTGACCTAATTTTCTAACCTTTTCATCCCCTGGAAGTTGAGAAAATGAGACATTCAGTTGGACTGCTCTCTATTCCGCACTGTTGTCACTCCACTCATGTCAGTTATGTAATTTTCTTTCAGTTTTATTAGTTGTATTGCAAGAATTTACCAGTGACTGCTTGAGGATATATTTGTTGGTAGGGGTCATTGCTATAATGATTTGATAAGATTGGCTTTCTGTCAGTTTCTATATGTTTGTCATCTGAACAGGTCTCCTATATTTCCATGTGGACCTCAAGATTTGATTCATTAACAGATGGGATATGTGAAGAGTACTGTATTTTTGTTTTCTTCTTATTAAAATGTCTTGTCTTTGTTCACGTCACCTTTTTTTTTGTTAAGTTTTGTTTGCTTGGCACTAAAATATATTCCGTTTATTACCATTTATTCTCCCCTACTCCTTGTTCTTGTCCTGCTCCTCACCATATGAACTTTCTGTGGTGATTTCTTCAGGATCCTTATTTCCGAATGACGCGAGATGTTGCTCCTCGGATAGGCTACCAGAAACCTGCACTGATTGAGTCGTCATTCTTTCCTGCCCTCCAGGTTCTCTTTCAATTGGCTTACGAACTATTATTGTGTTCTTGTGAAAATATTGTTTAATCTGGGTTCTACAGTTAGTGTTTCTTTTGGACTTGGTTGTGATTATTCCCGTCAACATTTATTACCCTTTCGTGATTTTATAGGTATTCGTAGCCATTACCATTTTATAAGCTTATTTGCTGGCGACGTGTAAATCATAAAAGTGATTCAGTGACGGTGACCATCCTGACATAGTCCATATTGGTGCCTAGGATCAGCCATGCATCTCTTTATGGGTCTGTATGGGAATACTGCGATTTGGTTCAGTCGAGATCTAGATACTTTTGTTTTAATGGTTCATGTCAGAACAGACTCATATGAATTTGTTTTTCTCAGCATCAGGATGAGTAGACCAATTTTCTCCAAAATCTGGTGGCTTTCTATGTGAAGTTGGGAATCACTTAGGGCTTCTTTGGAGGATAATGTTACCTTATGATATATTATAGGTTACCGGCTATGTGACATCTTAATGTGCATTGACTGCACTTTGATGAACTAAATGGAGGATATATAATACCCCTTTGGTGCACCACATCGGATAGACCATCTAGGAAAAAATATTTGATAGATATTCAACTCAACTCAACAAAGCTTTAATCCTAACTATTTGCTGTCAGCTATATGAATCCTGTCTGATAGATATTCTTGAAGGTAAATCATCTTTTTTATAGTGTGCAAATTAATAATCCTCTTGCTTCGAGCAGTATCTTGGACATGTTGAAAAAATGTTGTTAATTGGAGCAAGTAATAAAGTTTTTGATTCCCTACTTGTCAGAAAAGAAAATGAACGAATAAACAAACATGAAAATGAGTATACACTTAAAATGTGGAAAAGTAGAGCTCCTTATTCCTATCTTTTCAGACATTATTTTGGCATGCAAACATTACTTCAATTGTCGTGTGTTCAAGATTTCTGTTTCTGCAGTTGATTCATGCTGTAATATAAATCTGTATATTATATTTATTGTAAATTATAGATGTTAGCTACGTCTGCTAGATACAAATATTTGCAGGGGGAGACAGGAAAAATGTCAGCTAGTGATCCCAATTCTGCCATATACGTGACTGATTCTGCGAAAGACATCAAGAACAAGGTATGCTTTAAATCCTGTATAAACCCTTAATGGACTGTCTCTTTAATCTCTGAACGAATACTTTGGACAGAATGTGGTTGGGTTTATATAGATTCATTTGATGTGCTTGTGTTCTGTTGTGTGATTTAGGGGAGCACCCCAAACACTGGAATAGTAATTATTGCTCACGAGTATGATGATTTTATGGGTCATATGAAATCACTAGGGGTAACCCGTGCCTGAAGGCACGGTGCAACGTAAGTGAGAAGTGATGGATTTGGGAGAGTAGAAATTCAATGTGAATGATTTTGAGATGGAGGTTGAAGGCCGTTAGATGAGTCTATTTGAGACCGTCGAATGGACTTATTGAAGTCTGCCTTATTTAATATTATATATTTGATACAAATAAAAGTAATATTCTATAATATTTAATCTTCTAACAAATTCTATATTTTACTCATTTTTGACTATATATTCTATAATTTTTGAACCAAAGGAAGCTCTAACAAATAATACCAATACTCTAAGGAATCAATTTTGGTTTGCTAATTTTAAAAGATTTGGTATGAATTTTTTTTTTTTCAAGTACCCAATTAATTTTCTTTTTCATAAATCATTAGAGCGGCCCTAATTAAGAATATCAAAAAAAAATATATATAAAACATATATAACTAATTAGAGCGGGCCCAATTAAGAATATAAAAAAAAAATATATAAAACATATATAACTAAGAAAAAATAAAATTTCAGGGTAGTCCTAGACCTCTCCTCTATTCGCTACTACCACAGAGAGAGAGAGAGTGAGAAGATGAAGGTAAAATTCAATCTGAATAATTTTCAGAGAGATGTTGGTGGTCGTTGGATGAGCTTATTTGAGACCGTCGGATGAACTTATTGAAATCTTTTCTATTTTATATTATAGATAAATCCACAAAATATGATAGAATTAACTTAAAAAAACATTAATTTATATATATGTAATCAAAATTGAACATTAATTTATATACATGTAATCAAAATCGAGTCAAATCTAATATAAATTAAAATCTAATTTATCAAAAAGTATATCGCCAAAATATTTATAAAATATTATTTTTTTAATTAGTACAAGTTATTACAAAATTATTAATTTATAAGAATATATTAGCGTTGAATTTTCTTAAGAGATAAAAAAAAGTAGTCTTGAATTTTTGATTCAAGATATGTGTAAGACATGTTAGTATTAGATAATTAATTAAATAAATAAAATTAAAATTAATTATATTCAATAAAAATGTGTTAAGTATCAACTTTTTTTTTATTTGTTAAATTAATGAGTTTTTTTTTAATCAAAATGTTATTATTGTCTCATAAAAATTTAAAATGTTGCACTACATAGATGATATTAATGGCGAATTTGACTCATTTAATTATTATGTTAAAGAAAATCCTATGTTCAAAGATCAGTCATAATCGTTGACCGATTGGAAGAAAAATATTAAGGAAAAAATAATAATTTCTTGACCGTTGGATACATGAATTTGAGATCGTAGGATATGTACAAAATTAGCCGTAATTGTTGACCGGTTAGGGGAGAAAATATTAAGGAAAGAAAATGTAATTTTTTGACCGTTGGATGAATAAATTTGAGACCGTAGGATGGGCTTGTTGAAGTCGCTCTGTTTTATATTATAGATGCTCCTATTACCGTAACCAAAATCGAAAATTTTTGCCGCCTAAACACCACATCTCAAACAATACCCAACCTATCCATGATTTGTTGTAACGAATCTGGCGAATAAAGGAAAAATCAGTTGTTAATAGCTAGGGAAAAAATACAAAATATTGGGGAAAAACATATAATGCAGAAAAAAAATGAGGTCAAGTGAAGAATTCCATTGAACAAGTGGTGTGCATGCAAATAGGAAGACAAAAGAGTGTGTGTGTGTGTGAGAGAGAGAGAAGGAATCACTACAAGTAAACGAAAACAACCCTTGCTAGCACTACACAACCAACAAACATGTAGAAATTGATAAGGAATAACCCATAAATGGCCTCATTCGGCCCCATGAGAATTATTTTACCATCATATGGAACATACACATACCTTTTGATTGGGAAAAAAAATCAAGGCAAGGCATCCAATGACCCACAAATAACAAAACCCAAATTCATAATGCAACAAAACAACAAACTCAAGCAAAAATACAAACCATAACATTGAAAATCATGCCAAAAGCGATTAATTGTCTTTCCGTCATTGTCACTTTGAACTAAATTATCTAAATCATAAAAAAGAGTTCTATAGAGAGTGAGCTAAAATAAAAAAAAAATGCTCACAATCATAATAATTTTTCAATGGAAAAGAATAATATTTTTTCATACTCACAGGCTGCCAAAACATTTTCTACCCAACACCTGTTCCAATGGAAAAGAATAATAGTATTTCATACAAAAGCCTCAAGACAAAAACAAACCAATGCATCCTAGAACAAAACCAACAGTTATTGATTCAATGTACATAAAAGGCCAATGAGATTTCATGGAAACAATACTACAAGCAATTTGTTTATGCTTGTGTGTGCATGTGTTGGGGTGTGTGTGTCAGCCAGTATGTGTGACATATGGATAAAAAAAATGAAAGTAAGCTTCTCATAACCCAACCAAAAAGACACTTCCATTAATAAACAAATTACAATACGTTGTGTTATAGATTTACTGTATGACTGGACAAATTAATTGCAAAATGGAGGGATTTGGATGTCGGGCCGGTCATTTCAAACTTCAAGCAATTTAGTACAGCAGATTCCATTTGCAAAACTTGCAATAATTTGACAACGAAAATACTAAGAAGCATCTAGCATAGAAAAATTTAAGTGGTAATCTTGAAAAGTTCGGGAGGGATTTTGAAGTTTCCACCTTTAGAATTGCACATCAACGAGAAAAATTAAACTAAGAAACAACTGATAAAAAATGGATGTGCACCTAAAAGGAAACCTACAATTCAAGAACAAAACAAAGCACAAATTAATGCATCTACTATTTTTATTAGCATACTCTACATATAAGTTAAATCCTCATTTCTAAGTTTACCTAAAATAGATCTCAAGTTGGAAGGAAGAACACCTACAAAGTTTTTGCCCTTTCATCCTTCTCCTCTTCCATCGCCATGTTTCTCTCACACATTCTCTGTCACACACACACACACACACACACACTTTTCCTTCTTCACTCTCTTTGCACACACACAAACACAAACATAAACATGCCCACGTCCATTGGTCACCCAAATTAATAAATTCCAATTCATTACAAACAAATTTAGAAAAATCAAAATCCACATTTCGTTCTTGGATGGGCTACTCTCAACATCAAATAAAGAAATTTCATATTCAAGACCATAACATTCAATCAAATACCACCAAAAAGGAAGCACACTCAATATGAGTCTTTTAACTTCTATATGTACTACCATGAAAATATACGAACATTTAACTCTGGGATCTAAAGTTTCTCATAAGTTACCATTTGTGGAAAAAAAGCATTAAAAAAGGCAGTAATCTACTTTGTGGAAGGTAAAAATTTACCTTAGAAAATAATACAATTGCCACTATCAACTCAAGGAATCATCTTGAATCGAAGGAATGCGAAGAAGTGGCCAAAAATGATGAAAAAAAAATATATCCACCAAGCTGACAATAAAAATTTCATCATTCAACCTCTGAATACATTAATTTTTATTTTCTAGTGTACACAAAAACCTCAACTTTTATTTGTTGGTGTACCTGGGACCTTAAAATTAATTAAGAGCCACATATTTTGAAGCCAAAATTCAATGGAATTATATGGACAAAGTCAAACAATGATAAACTAACATAAAATTAAAAACCCTAGTTTATTCAAATAGAGATAGACAAAAAAAAAAGGGTAACAAAAAAAACTATGAAATTTGAACAAAAGAAATCAAACCCATTTGAAAATTTTGGGTAGGACTGTAGATCACAAAGAAATCTGTAGTTTTTCCCTAATTCAATCAAAATCTTAATAACAATAACACACGATCTCAAGCAATTAACAGATATAACCTGAAAATACATGCAATCAAATTGAAGATCTTATAGCTTGGGGTTGTGAGCTTAAGGGTTCGGAAACAAATATCATAGAGAGCTTCATTGTTGAGAACCATGCACTTTTCTGCGTTTTCAACCAATTTCGATCAGGGTATTAATCTTTGATCTTTGAGATCAGAAGGTTCCCATTCTAGATCCAGTTCTTCCCCCCAAAGAGTGGCACACCTGAAATCCTGAAAACACACACAAAGATACACCATAAGCCACCAATGCATATAAACTGTTTGTGAAAATGTCAAGGAGAGAAAAAGGTTGTTTGAAATTGTATGCGCGTAAGAGACAGAGAGAGAACGATAGAGAGGTTCAAGAACAAACCCTGTAGGCAATCACAATTCTCGACTTCTTTTCTCACGACATCGAGCACAAAATCGATCAACTTCTGTGTGTGTGTTCTTTTCTCACGACATCGAGCGTAATTCCCGGCTTCTTTTCTCTTCTGTGTGTGTGTGTTCAACTGGAGAGAGAGAGAGAGAGAGAGAGAGAGTACCTGGACTTCGTCAGTTGTAGGTTGATCGGCGGTGGGTTGAGCCACGGCAGAGCAGCGAGAAGGAGAGAGATTGAGAGATGGGCGCTGAGATGGGTCTTCTGGAAAAGAGAGAGAGAGAGAGAGAGAGAGAGAGAGAGAGAGAGAAGAGAGCGTCTGTGATTGTGTGTGAGACAAAGTCTAATGGGTTTGGGTAACGTGTAAGTGTTGGGTAGTGTGTAGAAGGCGTTTTGGGCGGGATTTTTTTTTTTTGTCTGTGATGAATTTTCAACCGTTAGATGAGATTAGATGAAATCTGAACCATTTAAAAAAAGTTAAACTTAATTTGAATTTTTTTTGACAGAAATGTTAGTAGCTGTTGGATGAAATGAATTGTGACCGTCCGATCGGTTTGTTGAAGCCCGCTGTGTTTTATATTATAGATAATAAAGATCTGTACTCCAGCGTTCCTCAAAGTCTAACAATTCTTTGTTGATTTCTTCCCAAAAAAATGTTGATTTTTTTGTGGGTTTATTGCTTTCTCCTTTTTGAACATTTGCTTAGGAAGGGATTCCATTGATATTTTTGTCTCAATCTCGATCTCCAAGAATAACTGAAAGTGATATGCTTCATTGCTCCCATTTATAGGCCTGTTACTTATGGACCATCATGTGCAGAAAACCATAGTTGCTAACCAAATGCTGGATGTTCATCAACAGAGCATTTGTTCTGCCATGTATTCACCATTCCAAAGCTAAGAAGCTTGTTAACCTGTATTTAACTCTGATACGGAGAATTTAACCTACTGTGAACTTGGTTTGAGATTTTGTAATGTTCATGTCTTCTGGGACAATTTGATGGAGTGGTGTTCCAGGACTTATTTTATGTTGTGCATTGCTAGCCAATTCCTTTTTGGCCTTGCCCTAAATTCCAGTGTATATTGACATATGGATACTAATGCAAGGAGTTTCGTTTCCAAAAGAACATATGCTAGTGCAACTAACTCAAGTCTCCTATACTTCATCAAATTCAAGAATTTGAAAAATCTGGATAGTTGTGCCTTTGGCTGCTGAATTCTTGTGGAAGCCTATCCTTTTGCATCCCTTGCTTGTGTACATTTGCTACAGGATGGGCCTTTGATACCAGTTTTTGCGTGCTTCCCATTCATTTTGTGTTTGATCTTTTTCATTAATTTTTGTTTTTTGAAACTTCAAGCTGTCACAGAGTGAACCATGGTTGGTTGCTATATATGCGTACTTATGGTATTTAGCAACCATAGGATGGTTTAAGTAGTTCGGCAATTAGGAGAACCCGGTTCGGCAACTAGGGTCTAATCCTTACTCCAAATTGTGAGGTCCATTAGATAGAAACTAATGAAAATAGTCATGTTCATGGTAGTTGTTTGTGATTTTTCTGTTTTTTGAGAAGTATGTTTCACCATATCTACTGACAGCAATTGTGTACAGATAAACAAGTATGCATTTTCTGGCGGCCAAGATTCTGTAGAGAATCATAGAAAATATGGAGCAAACCTTGAGGTATTAAAAGTTACATTCTCACACTTTATTGATGTAGTTGGAGAGCAATGAACTATGCTTTCTTATTAGTATGTTCTCAAAGATAGTAAGAATTAGAAGCAGAGATATTCATTGTTGTCAATATTAAATTTAGGAAGATTTATTCTTACTTATCATTCTCTCTTCATGAAAATTATTCAGGTCGATATACCAATTAAGTACCTTGGTTTCTTCCTAGACGATGATGCTGAACTCGACCACATACGGAGAGTGAGATAACTATTTTAGCCAAAATGTCTTCTTTTGGTGGAAATATTTACTAATATACATATTCCAGACGTTTTTTATACATCACAAAGGAGGGCTTAAGTTATGTTCTTTCAGGAGTATGGTGCAGGTCGTATGCTGACTGGTGAAGTGAAGAAGCGACTTATTGAAGTTTTAACGGAAGTGGTTGAAAGACATCGTAGGGCTCGTGCTGCAGTTACTGATGAGGTGAGTCAATGGCATCTTTTTTAAAATTTTTGCTTTTTTCACAGATCAATATTCTTTATTTAATGAAGAGGGTTGCTTCTATTGTATGTTTTGCAAGGGTGGCTGGTTGTCACTTGTCAGAACCATAATCTATAAATTGGGTTTCAAGGGATTTTAATAATTTTGATAAGATGTGGATTTGTTATTAAGGTGAAGCTACTGGGTGAAGGCACCCATAACAAAAAAAGAAGGCAATTTTAGTGATGGTCCAAAGCTACAGTACTATCACCGACTCAATGGGCCTTGGGAGGACTTGCTATTGGCTATCCTTATATAGGTCATGCAAAGATACCAAATACAAATATTAGGAAAAAATCAAAAAAATGCTGAAATGATACTAAGACCAGTTGAAACTCATTATTCTATACAGGAAATATAGACACGTCTTTAACACGATATGAATACGACGATATCACAATATTAAAAAGTAAGATAATTTTTTTGGCCGGGATACGTTGCGCTCTCTCTCTCTCTCTCTCTATATATATATATATATATATATACACTATATGTATAAAAGAGCCAATGCTCTTTTCGACCCCATACTATTGATGACGTAGGACCCACAAATATTTAAACTCAACTCCAGCAGATTACAATATGCAGCTGCCTTTTAGATTGGCTTGCGTGGCTTCCAAACCAAGGCCTACACGCTGAGCCGGACACAAGGGGCTAAAAAGTAAGGCTGGAGACTTCTTCTTAAATGCCCCTGGAGCTTCATAAAAAATATGTGAACAACACATACTAAACGTGCAAAAGACAATACCCACAACTTATTTCTTTCCCTAAGTTTTTGCAAAATTTCACACCACCGCTCACATTATATGTTATCATACAGACAACCTTTTCCATTTCAATAGTAGCACTTAGACCACATAAATTTGTAATAGTCATAATCATCCATATTAAAATGACAATTTTACTTTCCCACCATAATTTAAAAAATTACTTCTTTGTAGCATATTTTATCTTTTACTTTTCTCAATTAATTATTTTCATAATTAATTACCATAGTAATTATAATTTCTAATCCCAGTTGTGTCATTGGGTAATTAATCAACAACATTAAATGAACTTTTTTCATTATTGTTTATTAGAATAGTTTTGATAGCTAACCTCCCTCCGCCACCCCCCACACCAACTACATTGCCACTCTTACATAACCCCATTGCCCCCACCTCTCTCTCTCTCTCTCTCTCTCTCTCATTCATTTATTATTATTCACTGCATTTTTTGGTGACGCCGACTCCAACAGCAACCACCGCCACCGCCATTGCCTATGATTCCATTCCCACTACGATGATGAACAGCAAGACCCCCCCTTGCTTTGCGAACAACCACCATTGCTATACCTCACCATTAACATAAACTCTATCTTCGTTTTTGCTACTCTTAACATAAACCCATTTTCTATTCTTTAATTGGTTGAACAATGTAGTGGCCCATCTGTTATGATATTCACAATCTCATTCATCAAACCGATGTTGAGAACACATAGAGTACACACATACACATGAAGACGGAGGTGGGTGTGGGTGAGGTGGGAGGTTGGGGGGGGGGGGAAGAGTGAGGATGAGGATCTAGAGGCATGGCGTAGCTGGAGGTAGGGATTTGGGCAAGGGGGACTATGGGATGGAGGGTGGGAATTTGGGGCATGGGGCTAGTAGGGGGAAGGGTAAGGAAAGGTGGGGATAATGGGTTTGGGGCCAATGAGGGTGAGGGTGGGAGGTGATAATGACGGTGGACTATGGTGGTAGGGTTAAACAACAAACATGGGGGAAGAAGGGAGAGAGCGAGCTTATTTTAAGGTTAGGGATGTAGGCTTTGTTTTTTTATGTATTGGATACGTGTTTGGATGGGTGGATTCGGTTATCTATATGGATAGTCATTTATCGATTTTCTTGAAGTAAATTGTCAAATTTTAGGATATTAAAGTGGTTAAAACGAGTGTACCCTACTTTTGTTAGCTTACATATAGTTCTGTGATACATTATATCAATTATGGATGCATCATAGATTCTCTATTAAGAGAGTTGAATAATGGTGTAACTAGAAATGTCATTAATGTAGGACAGTAGTGGACCCGAAAATTTAGCACTGTTCAAGGATGTGAACCCGTGAACAGTATTTTTGGGGTGATATATGCTTCTTTATAAATTGTTTGGTAAAAGGGTAGAGTTTTGTAGACCACTTTTGAGGCTATAAAGAATAAAATTTCACATTTGATGATGAGATTAGAACTTGAATAATTAAAGAAAAATAAAAGAAGAAGAAAACTAGGAATCACTCCTAGGGTTCCTTAGACATCACACTTTGGGTATGATAAATTGTATCACACAATCTCATAGCATATAATTATTGGAAATTTGTAGTAAATATTTCTCTCTTTTTAAAGACCTCTAAGTATCTCATAATCCTAAAAGATTAGGATTCCTAAGATTACAGAATTCCAAACACTCTAAATCATTTAAAATTAGAACTCTAAGATAAACTAGAGTTAGAATTCTAAATTCTAGAACATTCAACATTAGAATTTGACCCAAAAGACAACCCAGGTCAAACTATGACCCATTCCATAAAATCTAGAAATTACAAACCTTTTGACTTTAAAAAATATTAAAAGGACATACAGAATACATTAACTAGCAAATTGATTCAAAACTAAATCAAAATACAATAATACAAGGCTCCTTGCTAATTCCATTTTTTTTTCACATCTTTGAATTTGTATTTTTTTTAGCATCTCATTAATTTTATCAGTTATTTCATGAATTCATTTGAGAAAGTGTCATTAAGCTTCAAGAACAACTGTTTGCTACCAAATAATCAAAATTCGTCTAATTTGTCAATCCATTTATTTTTTGGTGCTTACGTAATTAATCTACATCCACATGATAGGTGATTGACCGGTAATTACATTGACATTAGTCTTGACACTTCAATTTTTTACTCATCTAAAAAATAAAAACCACACTTAAGGATCCTCTTTATAACATTATACAACTTAGTATGTTCTAATAGTCTAATTTTTTTTTTATTCAAATACATTTACGTTAGACTAAACAATTTCACAAAAATAAGCTTTAATTAGCTTGCCTTGCACGAGGGTACTTCACTAGTGTGTGTATATATATATATATAGAATAATGTTATTTGTACCAAGGATCAAAATATCGTTTCGGTGTATTGTTTCGGTCACCTAGAAAACGGAAACGTTTCGACCCGTTTTGAAAACATATTGAAAAAAATAAAAAATTTAAGAATTATTTTTTTAAAATATTGATGGAAATATATCAAAGTATCTTGAAATACTTTGAAATATTCTAAAACAATTGTGTAAATGTATTGAAATATTACAATATATTTAAAAACATTATAGAATACCTCGAAATATCAGAATTTTGATTCCATCACTGTTTCGTTTCGGTTTCCTTGAAATGGAAACGTTTGTTTGTACCTAAAAATTTGACCTAATTTGTTGACATAATGATGTGGCTCCATAAGAATCAAAACGGAAACGTTTCGACCTGTTTTGAAAACATATTGAAAAAAATAAAAAATTTAAGAATTATTTTTTTAAAATATTGATGGAAATATATCAAAGTATCTTGAAATACTTTGAAATATTCTAAAACAATTGTGTAAATGTATTGAAATATTACAATATATTTAAAAACATTATAGAATACCTCGAAATATCAGAATTTTGATTCCATCATTGTTTCGTTTCGGTTTCCTTGAAATGGAAACGTTTGTTTGTACCTAAAAATTTGACCTAATTTGTTGACATAATGATGTGGCTCCATAAGAATCATTGGATTAACACCAAGTTCTAATGTTTGATGGGACCTACAATTAATCCAAAGGTCACAGTGAATTAGGTCAACAAATTATATAAATAAATTAGGTCCCAATACTATTGCTCATATATATATATATGTATGTATGTATGTATGTTAGGCTGCTGTTATAATACTAGGGATATGAGGAATAAAGAGATAAAACACATCCTTAATTTAAACAATTTATTTTGTTGACATAGGAACTACTTAACAGTGTTTTGAATCCAATGGTCTATGTAGTTCTAAAGCTGAACACGTCATCCTTTGAGTGTTCTTAACTTTTAATTAACATTTAATTGCAATAGATTTATTTGGCTTTGCCATAAGTCATAAAGGCTCATAATTTAGGCAAAACAAATTGTAAAAAATTGACAAATCTGGTTACATAGGTAATGAACATCTTGGAATAAGAAATTCACATTTGTATGATTTATGATTTTTACGCAACTCAACTAATTAAGTATTAAGACCAATGTATCCATTGTGGGAATACGCATATCCAAGATGTATCTGCCAAGCTACGAAGCACGGACACTCTTGAGAACGTGACGTATCCGTGTCGGACACCGACACTCTTCGGACACTCTCAGAAACGTGTTCGATACTTTTTTATCCGTGTTCATAATTAAATGATAAATTTTTAATTTCGAACACGTGTCGGACAATTCTTTGGTGACGTGTCCGACATTTCTTTAGAACGTGTCTACTATTAAAGAATAGCCATTTGTTGAAATGTGATTAATAAAGTTTAAAAATTTGAAAACATATAATTATTAATACTAGACAGATTAAAGTTGTACTCTAAATATAATAATAAAAACAAAAGATGCATAAAAGTTTTAAAAAAGAGGAATTGAGAAAATGAGAGCAATTATTTAAATTACATATTAGGTATACATTGTTTACAAAAAAAAATTATTGATTATTGATTATAATGAGGATGTTTTAGTCTAAAAATTCACACATATGACTAGACATTAGGTTTTATTATCATAAAATACTGATTTTTTTATGAATTGTATATAATTATCACTATATTTGCAATAAATTATATAATGTTATATATAAAATAATTTTTTTTGTAGCGTGTCCCTAATGTGTTCGTGTCCTATTTTTTTGCGAAATGTCGTATCGGCGTGTCCGTATCGTGTCATATCTGTGTCCTGTGTCCGTGTCTATGTCTGTGTCTGTGTCCATGCTTCTTAGCTTCTAAGTATCCAACAAAGATAAATATTTTATTAATTATTTAATACATGTGAAAAGTGTTATACTTATCTGCGAGTATTCAACAAGGATCGGATATTAACACGTCACTTTAATCGAAGTATCCGTGTTTCATAGATTCCATATCTATAATATACAATATGGTAATAAGGTTGTGTTGATTTGGGGACTTGCATGAAGTTAGGTCAGTCAATGGATTGAATTTTTTATC